TTCGATCATGACGTGTTGTTGGAGTAGAAGCATATAGAGCAGCACTGGGTGGTAATGCCATTGCCCCTACATATCGAGCAATCAACATCAACCTAATCAACTGCAGAGCATACTCACCAATTTCATCCATTAGTGAGTCAGGACCAATTGGAACTGACAAAGTTTCTTCAAAGTCAAACCTCTGTTTTTGGTGTTCAGGTGAGGTGTCGACAATATACACCCAAGTTTCTTTTATGTATTTGGAGGCGTCGGGCACGGCTTTATTCAATTTGGGATGTGGATGAGGTTTTTGGAGGCAGTAAACGTAGTAGAAGCGAGCGTCTCGCCGCTCCAGGATGATGAGGTCTGCATCGGGTACAACAAACTGTGGATCAATTGGCCCATTTTTTAGCATAAAGTCCCCTCCATCTGAGGGATAACGTGAAAGGCCTGAACTTGATGCATAAAATGCTGTGGCAACATTATGTTCATCCTCTGGTACGATGGTTTCTTCTGTTTCATTCTGCAAAAGCTCTTGATCAATATCATCCAGTGCTGGCGTGTCAGTCATTGACAATTGCAGAAGCGGTAAGACAGATAAGGAGGGCACAAGGCGTTAGAGTTGTTAACCAAATGATGCCAAATTATCACGTGCGCCAAGGATCGTCTGAACCTGCGCTGGGGTTCAGACGATCCTTGGCGCACGTCATAATTTGGCGTTGTTTCACATCCAGAAGTTTCTCAACTTGAACAAACAAAACTACCGCGCGCGCGGTAGTTTTGATTGCATTTGTTTGAAAGCAAGTCATTCAAAACAGATGCAAAGAACTTTACCGCGCACGCGGTGGATTTGTTAGCTGCTAGCCAGGTACTTAACGCGTAAATAGCTACTCCAATGGGTTTCAAGAATAATGCAACTTAATAAAATGAATTGAATGAACTAATGCTGTGTTCCTACTAAGTTATGGAAGTTGTGATCCACAACGACCGACGTGGCTGCCCCTGGCTCCGCTAAAACATCGCCGTCAATGTGAACGTGATTACGCATTCGCGTCGTGAAGTCCTACGTGTTCCTGTAAAGACGTGTGTTTCGTGTTCTACGTTAATTCTTTCACAAACAGTCACCGCGTCAACTTACCTGCATTCAAGCCAAAATTCGCCACCTTCATCGCACTTGACGTGATTCCTTTCCTTTCGTCCGCACTGCTTAAGATGACCAGTGAAGTTGTAGTACCGGCCGAGATGAACGTGCGACGTGAGATTGAAGGTTGGGGAAGTTCTGGCCATGAACGTACATTTAATTTCTTTCACAAACACACACGGCGTCGACTTACCTGCATTCAAGCCAAAACTCGCCACCTTTGTCGCACTTGACGTGAATCTACAAGATATTCGTGAGTTTTAATAGCCGATTGGTGCTAGAAGACTTACCGAACGTTAAGGCGGAACTTCCCAAGTCCTACGTATGCCTGTAAAAATGTATAAGGTGAATCAAGGCATTGACCAAACAACGCCAAAATA